GGGATCTGCATCGCCAACTATACAAAGACAAACACCACTGACTAAAAGCACAATCATCATTGAAATCACAGAGACTCCAAGTGTTTTTATCCATTTTTATGGGTTAATAGCTGCTAATCCATATGCAGCTCCTTCAAGCACTCCGGTTCCTGGCATTAAAGTCATGTGTTTGGGATTCTTTAAATATTTGTTGTTTTAATTTTGCAATATCCAAAGACATGTTTCTAAAGTGTCCTTCTAGATGCTTTTTTATTCTTTCCCATTCATGTCTGATTCATTATAAGGATGAGGAGTGATACAAAAGTCAGAAGTATTCCAGTTCCATTTTAGCTGCATTCTATATTCCAAACTAGCTACTTGATCTCCTAGCCACATTACAGTTTGTTGGAGATCATTGATTTGATAAACTATCTTTTGGTCTATTTTAGATTGAGAGTTCCAGAGCAGAGTAGAATTCTTTGGTCTGCCATTTATTTACAAAATCTGCTGTTTACACTGATGAATGTCATGCGACTCCAGCTGCCGCAGCAGTAGCTGTAACAGCAATCTGTCCCATAATAACCAAGATTAAAGTAGCAATGAAATGCTGAGAGCATCTCAAAATTTTATGAAGAATTTCTGTAATAATATGTACAGAGGGAGACACTTCCCAATGACGGGAAAACTTCACCAGTACCCATACTCTTTCTTGAACTCTCACTACTAGGATAGAATGATTAGTATTAAACAAGGAAGAGTTTACACAAGAGAACAATCTACATTCCAAGCAAGTTCCATGATAATTAGGGGTGTCCAACTTTAGACTGCCCATTACCAACAGAAAAGGAGGACAAACACAACTTTGTATCCAAATTGTATTGTTTTCAACAAAAAAATGTAATTAGGATTATATTGTGATGGCATAGTATATTTTCCTTCCTAAATCTTGATCTTATAAAGAGCCATTAATAGTTTCCTCCAATCCTTATTTTTAGCTCCTACAGCAGGCCATGTCATTTGAGGTTGAGGTACCACTATACCGCCATGTTTCCAGATAATAGCAACTCTTGCCATACTTCTTATCATTTCTACCATCTGACTGTTTCGTTCAGACCATCTGAACGTGGTGTGGCCATGGCATGCAGACTGAGAGCTGCAATTCAAGCTAAACATCCCCTTAGGGGAATCAATCAACAATGATTCCATAGGAATTCTTGCACCACACCTCTGCCTGTTCTGCAATGCAACCTTCCTAAAGAAGTACGTTCATTTTTTCTGACCAGGTCCAATACTATTTACAAAGAGGTTTTTCAGGGCAGTATGCCTCAATTATAGGAGCAGATTTCTTATGGTAAATACTGAGACCAGAAAGCATGTATAAGTGTGTCATAGAGTGATTACATCCAGGCATTATCATCAGCCAAGATTGATATTGAGGGGGTAGGCAATTAGTGGCCTTTTCCAAACAGATACGTGGATGTTCTAATCCTAAAGAAATATTCATAACAGTTCCATCCTCATGTGGGTGAGATGGGCCTCTTTTATCTGCAGAACCAAGCACCCAAGAGTTGTCATTAGTGTATACCTCCAGTGGGGAGTCCAGCCAAATTACAGGCCATAGAAGTGGTGGAATAGGGAAATATGTCCAATAAGTATAGTCGTTCTCTGTGTCAGCCCTTGCTGAAGTAATACTCACCGCAATGGTGATTCCTGCTATCACAGCTATCGTTAAATCACTCATTGTGACTGGTTGTCCCGCTTTCCTCAGGTTTTCTTCCACCACCTATGACAAGTTCTTGGTCTCTTCCCAAGTGGGTGGTTGTATTCGACGGGTGTTGCTCGTGACACTGAGACTCCTCAGTGTCAGTCTCAACATAGCTGAAATCGGGGGTCCTCGAGTTCCCCCCAGAATCTTTTCTTTGGCATCTGGCTCATGATAAAGTTTCAGGTGTCTTGGTGGTATCCAAGTTGGCTATTGATTCAGTCCTGGAGAAACACAAGTGTAATCTGTACCCCATGTTATTATTTTACCTATTTCCCAACTTTTTGTTATCAGATCTCTCCACCAAACCAGTTGTTCTGCTTCTGTCTTTGCAGCTGGTTTCTGTAGATGCTGTTCAGCTGTTGATAGCATCTGGCCTTTAGGCAGACTCAAAATATTTAAAGTCAATAATGCTAGATTCAATTGCATATGGGGTGTCCCACAGTCCCTGTTTCCCACCGTTTGCATCTGCAACTGCTGTTTCAGGGAGAGATACATTCTTTCCACTATGGCCTGTACTTGAGAATTATATCGGATACGAGTAATGTGTTTAATATTCCATATAGAGAAAAATGTAGCTAGAGCTTGGCTGGTATACCCTGGGGCATTATCTATTTTAGTAGAAGATGGAATGGCCATCACTGCAAAGCACAGCAAAAGGTGATGTTTAACACAGGGAGGAGACTCTCCTGATTGGTATGTAGCCCAGACAAAGGAAGAAAATGTGACCAAACGTACATGTACATAAGCTAGTCTCCCAAACAAGGAACACAGGTGACGTCCATTTGCCAAAGAGAATTAGGGTATTAGGAAGGGTATTGTCCTCCTCCTGAAGTGATTTTTTTCCCAAGCTCTAATGCACACTCCTCTAAGATGCTCTATGTCATCTTCCTGCATAATCACCTGTGCATCTAAACCAGCCCAGCCACTGATCCCCAAAAGTTGCTCTGCAGTCATATTGATTTGCGGTTGGGCCAGGCATTGTAAGCAGCCTGAGTGGAAGCTTCATCTGCCCACCAAGTTTTAAATTGTAGGAACTGAGCAGGAGACAGACAAGTTCAGGTAAGAGCATCCCAGTCAGGAGGAATCATCCAGCTGGAGACATCAACATTCTGTAACAGTCCCATTACAAAAGGAGAACCTGGTCCATACTGATTTATAGCTTGTTTAAATTCTTTGAGTAATTCAAAAGGAAAAGGCTCAAATGTAGCTATAACACTTCCCTGTTGATCTGAGGGGTGTATTCTAACAGGGAACTGTGAAGTCTCTATGTCACCCTCATGTCTACCTTGCTGGATTCCTGCCTGAATAGAAATGAGAGTGATCGCTCAAGGTGCCGCTTGAACCGTCACTGGAGCAACTACTTTTCACCCAGTGTCCTCCGGAAAAGAAGGATCTGGAGGGTCAGGCTACTCTTTTTCTTCAAACTAATGAGGGGGTGCAGAAAGGGAGGGATAAACCTCTCCCTCTTTTGCCACTTTAGATTTAGCTGGCAAACAAACCTGCTCTGTCAGCTCTTCTGTTACTTTGTTATGCTCTCCTTCTTCCTTATCATCAGTGTGAAAAGGTTCCAAGGTGGAACAAACCAGAGCTGACACTTGTCCCATTGTTACCCTGATGCTTCCGAGTTCCCCTTCTTACTCACCACAGGGATTGCTTAAGAGTACTCAGGTGTCCTCCAGCATAGTTCCGCTTTCTCCAACGATCACTCTAGCAACCCTTCAACCCTGTTTTGAGCCCCACATGTGGACACCACTTGCCGAGACCAGCTCAGTAGTGGAGAATCTAACCCAGTGGCATCAGAGAAATTAAAGACACACACACGGAAATATAGAGTGTGGAGTGGGAATCGAGGGACTGACAGCCTTCAGAGCTGAGACCCACAGAGTTTTACCTACATATTTATTGACAGTAAACCAGTGATAAGCATTGTTTCTATAGACTATAGATTAACTAAAGACATTCCTTATGGGAAACAAAGGGATGGGCTCTGGCTAGCTATCTGCAGCAGGGACATGTCCTTAAGGCACAGACAGCTCATGCTATTGTTTGTGGTTTAGGAATGCCTTAAGCAGTTTTCCACCCTGGGTGGGCCAGGTGTTCCTTGCCCTCAATCTGGTAAACTAACCACCTTCTGCGTGGGCATCATAGCCATCAGGAGCATGTCACAGTGCTGCAGAGACTTTTTTTATGGCCAGTTTTAGGGACTGTTTATGACCAGATTTGGGGGCCTCTTCCCAACACCAGTTCAATCTCAAACTCCTAGGATGAAGCAATTCTCCTGCCTTAGCCTCTCAAAGTTCTCCGGATTACAGGCATGAGCTACCACACACAGTGTTATAATATGTTTCATACAATATCCTGATTTTTCTGCTTCATCTATGACTTAATGAACCTTTCTTGCTATGAACTCAGACTTGCTGCTGAAACTCAAAAGCACAGTCTAGTGCATTCTGGGACAATCTGTAACAGGAGAAATGTTAAGCCTTGTGAAAAGGGTAACCTTGCTGGCCTGTCAGCTGTCAATTTCCCATCACTACTATCACTTCTGGAAGCACATTTTCCAAAGCTCCTTTGCTATCTATGGTTTCTTCAGAGTTGGTCAACGAGTTGCCCTCCCATGACACTGGGAAGTCAGAGTGGTGGATTCATGTACACTGACACCTGAAGTAAAACACATGCAGTTAGGTGTGGACTGGAGAGTCACCTGGAGATGTGCTACAGGCAGCTGAGAGCAGCAGCACCTCTACCCTGGACTTCCCAGACATGTGTGAGGATCATCACACGGTACTCAGCACATACCACCTGGGGCAGGTGCACGCGGGCTTCTGGAGGAGCACCTGAGAATCTCCTGTCTCTAGTACATGCTTCATAAATGACATACTGTAGGCTTCAGAAAGACTGTGATTTAGACTTTAATTTAGTCAATTTGAATTTAGTCAATTCTAATTTAGTCAATTGGAATACTGAGAGTAGCTTCTCTTTTTCTATATGAATTCTAATTATCCCATAACATAGACTCCTCAGGTGGACTTATCTCTCTTCTTTATTCTGCCAGGACAGGGGTTGTAAACGTCTTTTCTGCTGGGGATGATGGTGAAAGAGGCTTAGGGTTCAGAGGAGCCTCCCTGGCCTCCCTACAAAAACCTCCCAATGACTTTCAAAACTTGACTGACTTCGAGAAATGCTCTCAGCTAATGGAGGCACCAGGAGGAGCATCTGGAGCAGCCCAGGCTCACACATCTGCTTCCTTGGGGGTTTATATTATGACCTCTAACACTGTGGGAGGGTAACTGTAATGCTGTTGACAGTAATAAGTGGCAAAATCTTCAGGCTGCAGGCTGCTGATGGTGAGAGTGAAATCTGTCCCAGATCCATTGCCACTGAACCGAGAGGGGATCCCACTTTGCAAACTGGATGCAGCATAGATCAGGAGCTTAGGGGCTTTCCCTGGTTTCTGCTGATACCATGCTGATTCAGCAGCAGGGGAGGTGGAGCCAGCTACATCACTATCAACGCACTTAAGCCCAAGGACTCCAGAGAGTATTTCTCTTGTGAAGTATTAGTTGTCTGCAGAGGAAGTAAGTGCTTGAGGCATCGAAGAAATGCACAAGTAGGAGTGGCCAGAACAAGGTAGTGCAGCCTGTGCACAAACCTCCTGCTGATTTTCCAGGGGACTGGATTTCAGGGAAATGACTACTGAACAGCATGTCCGGACCCAAATATCCAGATTCAGAGAGATACAGCTCTGGATTCAAATGCACTTTTTTTCCTGCATAATTTTGGCAGTCATTGTTACTACACCTTGGCGTTTCCAATCATTCTATTTCAGCTGACTCTTTATGGTCCTTTCTGCCCCTCACTGCTCTCTCTGAACCTGGGGAAGGCAGCTCAGCCTGCAAATTTGGTGGACCTCATGGCCTGGAATTAGCATCCCCTAGGACAGCTATCAATCAGTGATGACAAGGGAGGTGTACACATACCCCAGCTCCCTAAATTCTCAGGTGGAATAACAGAGGCATTTTTTTTTTCTGTTTCTGTGTGGGCGTGACCTCTGGTCATCCTCAGAGGTGACTCCTTGCTGAAACACCTTTCACTGTCTCTCCTCTCTTCCCTTGCTCACTTGCTCGTTTCCTGTACTTTGTAAATATACTGCTTCCCATGGGAATATTTGTCATCCTTCTTGCTAGGGTATCCAACCTAAGGCACTGAAAAATTCCTAATCCTTGGAGGGCATCTTTGGTTTCACTTATTCCACTACTCATGTTTTGATGTCTACAGAAACTCAGAAAATTTAAGAAATACTTAAATTTCCTTTGCCAATCTTTCTTAGATTTGATTTTAGCAGAGATTTGTTTTCTTTTTCTTGGTCACAAAATCAAAGAAGACTTCCACAAATTGCTACACACCATCAAGTCCACTAAAAGCAGAGAATCAGAATCTGCCAGAACTTGGCATTCACACGTCAGAGAATCCTAGAGTCTCAGGATTTCTCTAGGTCCGCTGCCTCCTAAATCTGCCTTGTGATATTTTTTATTCTACCTTAGGGTAAGATCATCGTGGGGTAATGAGAGTTGTTGGTGAAATGAATAATAAACCCCCTATACACATCATTGTCCTAGTATCTGGAATCTATGATTATTACTTATGAATATGCCAAATGTAACTTGACAGACATGGTCAAGAATTTTGAGGTCAGGAGAGTATCCTGAATTATCTGGGTGAGACCAGCACAATCACAAGTGTCCTTATAACAGGGAGGCAGAACGGTCACATCCAGAGAGGAGCTGGGGCAACAGAGAGGGGTGCTGGAGTGATGGAGGAAGGGGCCATGGAGCCATGAATGTGGGAACATGAGAAAGATGGGAAGCCGGACATTGAATTCTCTCTCTTAAAACATCCAGAATACAGTCCTGTTACTGAGTCAACAGAAAGGGTTGTAGAGCCAAGGTTTCATCATGCAGATGAAGCCTCCGGGTAGCAGGCTTCAGAAAGAATAGACTGTAATGGTTTCTTAGCAGACTTAAAGGGTGCCAGACTGCTAGTTAAATCTCTCTGGGTCAGGAAAGAGACTCGAAAAGGGACAGGATTCTCTACAAAAGGTGGATTTTCCCCACAAGAAACAACTTAGCAGAGGCATTTTCAAATACATTAAATACAAATGTCTTGGGGAAAATACTTTGATTTCCCTGAGGCCTGGCATCTGTCATGTTGGTATCTTATTGCTATAAAGACTTTGCTTTGTCAGTCTCAAGGTCTCTGTTTTAATATTAAACACTGGTCAGTTGTACCTGAATTTTAAAGAGAGGATGGTCAGTTAAGGCATATCTGATCATCCATTCCCATGATGCACTGTACTGTATTTCAGGTTGATTTTGGAGTGTTCTTGATTGAGAGAAGGAGTTTATGCAGTTGGCTAGGGAGCTTGGAGTTTCATTTTTGGTTCACACACCTATGTCCAGGTAAGAGGGACCCACACAGGAGGGCTTGCACAGAACCTGGCTTGCAAGGCTGCTTACAGACCTGCTCTGTCTCCTGTTGTCATGCACAACGAAGGACACAGTCAGTGACAGCCCTCAGCCATCCAGGGAGAAGCTGTGTCTGCAGAGGACAGTCATGAGCTATGAGTCTAGCTAACTGCAATTGTCTTCAGGCGCCTGTGGTCCTCAGCTTTCATGGGATTTGTGTGGAAACTGGCTCAAAGAACATCCACCAGGATTCTTATGAGAATATCTCATTCACAGAAGGCAGTGGTGATATGACAGCACAGAGGGACTCTGTGGGGCTAGCTGCATGGAACACTCTGGGAGAGTCACTGGCACCCGGGCTAGACAGAGCTTCTTGCAACTTCTGAAGCACATGAATTTGGATCTCTTAACATCATTTTGAAAGACCATTTATTATTCAGAAGGCAACCGTTGTAACTAAGATAGCATCTGTAATAGCTAGGAATAAAAAAGTGATATTTTATTGCTAAGACGATTACGAGAAAACAAACAAACAAAAATAGTGTGAAGGAAAAAAGCAACACTAGACTGAGGGTTTTGGGTAAGAGGTTGAGACTCAGTAGTGAATCCCCTGGGCCATCTTCTGTCAATAGAGAGGGACAATCAGGAAAGGGAAATGTGTAGTAGAGACAAAATCTTGGTGAGTAAAAGAATCCTAAGAGAAAACAAGAGTCTCCTTCCTGAGCATCAGGTTGGTGTTGGGAAGATGTACATAATCCCCACATTCCAGGTCTTACACTTTTCAGCAATTAGGGCTCAGGATGAATTTAGAAGATACCATTCACTTCACAGCAGATGGGGACACAGTCAAGGCAGCGGTGAGAGGCAAGGCTGGGCTTTCAGTCTCAGAGCACAGAGCAGGTTCTCCATTACTCCACAGCCTGATGTCTCCTCTTATATGTTCCAGATGTTCCACCTCATTCTCGCCTTAAGGGCTCCAATTTGTTAATGGGACACTAGCCCTCTTCCTTTCCCAGGGTTTGTTAGAACTTGGCTCTCTTGTGTATTGTGGGGTTTGTTTGCCATCTAGAGGCAGGTTTTTGGTATAGCAACTTACAGGCTTTTTCTACTTGTGACACTGAAAATAATTACATACATAAATTTATCATAAATAATAAATTGACTTAATGTATCAAATCAGTAAAAAAAAAAAGATGAGTTTAAGAGCTTAAAAGGAGTCTGATGAGGTTAAATAGAGAAATTACTTTAAGTGGAAGACAGAGTAACAGATTATTATTTTTTTAATCAATGACATTTTGGGAGTAATTATCATATTGTAAATAACAACTTGAAATAAGCTGCTAAAATATAATTTTATACTCAAAAAGTATTTCCAAGAATCATATAAACACATTTTCAGATTAAAACACACAAAAAAATGTGGGTTTATCATCAGGTCCATCCAGTGGAAGACTTCTCAAATGTGTACTTGGAGCAAAAATAACATTTATTTCTATTTGCAAGTTCAAGATTTTTGATCTTTAGAAGAAAACAACTTTCCCTTCACTCTGTTCCACTCATGCTGCTGAGGATGAGCGTGGGGGCAAATACTATGAGGAAGGAGGAAGCTTTGGGCTGAGGGTGGTCGTGCCTCCTGCCCACGTGAGTGACCTCATGGAGAAGAGCCAATGACACCACCAAGGCCACGTGCCTGCCTCTGCACTGCCATGGCACAGACAGAGAAACCTGGTCACACTTGGTCAACTGCAACTAGAGGCTTTTTTGTACCAGCCAATTTTGATTCTCCTCGTATCTTCTCTCAGGTTTAGGGGATAGTTCACCTTTCACCGTTTGTTTTCACAGTGTAGCCATTTGTTACATCAGCATTACATAAGTTGTTGCTTTGTTTGTTAAATATATCTAACCATGTTGAATGGGTTGGGACTAATCCTGTGTCTCATGGCAAAGCAGAAATTCAAGTTCACTAGAAGTTGTCAATCACCTGAGGGCTAAAGATGACGATAACATTGCTTAGCTCTGGGTCATACTACTTACAATTTTTTTTTTTTTTTTTTAGTGTCTCACTTTGTTGACCAGTTTGGAGTGAAGTGGCATGATCTCAGCTCATTGCAACCTCCACCTTCCGGATTGAAGTGATTCTCCTCCCTCAGCCTCCCGAGTAGCTGGAATTACAGGCGCATGCCACCACGCCTGGCAAATTTTTGTACTTTTAGTAGAGACAGAGTTTCACCATGTTGGCCAGGCTGGTCCTAAACTCTTGACTTCAGCAGATTCACCTGCCTCAAATTGCTTGGATTACAGGTGCAAGCCACTGCACCCCATCACACTTTGTGTTCTTTAACTGCATTCTTTATAATGACTTTTAAGCTCAATTATGCATTTATCAGTACTTTTAAAAACATAATTGTGTCACTTTTTTTTTCATTTGAGGACTCCAGTGTGATTGATAGGTATAAAAATTTTGCCATACAGTTTTTAAACCTAACAGAAATGGAACTTCAGAATTCTAATTGCACTTACTAAGGAAACCGTCATCTTGGAATAAACAATCATCTCAAGTGTACTTTATACCCTTAGCCTGAAGCGGATCTTCTTCCGTTGATTCAGTCATTGTTTTGTGTCTATCATACGGTGTTATGACATGTAGCTCACATGACTCATTACGGGGTTCAGTATCATTTAAAACACTATGTTTACTAAAATCTATGAAAAGCACACATGTTCTATGCATTGACAACTGAAACATAGAATTTAGATTCATTTTCAGGTAATGATGTAATCATGTGAAAAGAATGCATTTCTGGCTGGGGCCGTGGTGCTCATGCCTGTAATCCCCAGCCACGTTTGGGAGGCCGAGGGGGGTGGATCACCGAGGTCAGGAGTTAACCATCTTGGCTAACACAGTGAAATCCGGCCTCTACTAAAAATACAAAAAAATTAGCCAGGCGTGGGTGGCGGGCGCCATGTAGTCCCAGCTACTTAGGGAGGCTGAGGCAGAGAATGGCTGAAACCCGGAAGGCGGAGGCTTGCAGTGAGGCAGAGACACTCCACTGCCACTCCAGCTTGGGCAACAGAGCAAGATCCATCTCAAAAAACAAACCAACAAATGGTTTCTCTGAACCTTTTCTTATGAAAACACGTTAATAAATTTCCGCTCTAAAATAGACTTAGCCTACATACTTTCAAAACTTTTAGGAATTTGGAAGAGAAATAAACATCTTCACATAATTCTGAAATGCTTCCTTTGTCTCGAAATAAACCTTTTATTTTTTATCTTTGAAGTTTATGCCGGTTATTTTTAAGGCCACTTTGGGAATCGTGAAAACTCCTCCACTTGCAAATAATAATTAAGAGTAACCAGTTTTGGGAATCAGGATTTCACTCTCGACCATGAGTGTATAAAGTCTATTTGAATCATCCAGCATCAAACATTTTACTGGTTGTCCTTCGTCATATTCCCCTCAACAGCTTGTGTAGGAATGCTTCTCCTGTAAGACAAATGGAGGGAGGCGTTTAGTGCGAGTCGGAGAGTATCAATGAGGGAGATAGGGAACGCAATGAGTTTCCAATGTGGTAAGTGTCATTGCGCATGAAAATAAACCACAAGTTGGTCATTTCCCATATTTGTTCTACCTGTGTTGTCACTAAACTGCATCCATGGTCTGGTTATTCTGACAGCTGCATGAACTTGACAACTGTGGGCAAGACAGGGACAGTGAGGATGGGAGCTTTCATTCACTCTGCCTTCATCATAGCCGGTTGCTCCCAGGGCACGTGGCCCCGCATGAATTCTCCTCCTCCTGATGCCTTCCCCAGGCTGTGGCAGCTGGTGGGGCCTTAACATGTGGGATCTGAGATGCTGCTGAGGTTCTCATGGACCAGCATTCTCAGCAGCAAACGCCGCTCTGACGTCTCCAACAGCCTTCTCTTCTGCGGACTCAGAGACTCTGCTCAGCTGCTTCCCCAAGACAAGCGGCACATGTGGGCAGCTGGGTCAACCCAGCAGGGAGGTTTCTGCTCGAGGATGTACCACTGTGGGAGGAAGCTGTGTACCTTGCATGCAGTAATAAACTCCAACATCCTCAGCCTCCACCCGGCTGATTTTCAGTGTGAAATCAGTGCCTGACCCACTGCCACTGAACCTGTCTGGGACTCCAGAGGCCCGGTTGGAAACCAAATAGATCAGGAGCTGTGGAGACCGGCCCGGCTTCTGCAGGTACCAGTCCAGATAGGTGTATCCATCACTATGCAGGAGGCTCTGACTAGACCTGCAGGAGATGGAGGCCGGCTCTCCAAGGGTGACGGGCAGGGAGAGTGGAGTCTGGGTCATCACAATATCCCCACTGGTCCCTGAAAAAATAACAGAGCAGTGCAAGTTTATATAGATACATTATGAGCAACTTTCCTAATTTCTCTTCTGATATCAATTTACAGTTACGTTTTAAAATTTTGATTTATATCATGAAAAGTAGACTTTCTAAAATAAACCCATTATTTACTAGCCAGCAGGGAACTCTTTATTTTCAAGTTCTGAATCAGAGCACTGGTCATCGTTCCCTGGAGGTTAATCCTGATTACTCATAGGACAAACATGAATTCCATTCCCTGGAGCATAGACCATGTGACTCTATCACATTATTGGAATAAACATGTGAAGCTGTGGAGCCCACAGAACTCTACTCCCACCCAATTCTCCTCCCTGATCTCCCTCTGTCCTTACCAGGGAGCCAGAGCACCAGTAGCCCCAGGAGCTGAGCAGGGAGCCTCACTGTGAGAAGGTGACCTGAGGAGTCCTGATCAGTCAAGGCAAGGTTAGGGCTGAGCTTTTTATCTGAGACTCACAAGGGAAGGTCCTCCCTAGGGGACACTATGCAAATCCCCTGGTGGGTGCAGTGGCGTGGAAAAGGTTGATGGGGCAGGGGGAATGTCTCTTCTGTGAACAATGTGTTATGAATTGTCCCTTGGAACAAAACAGAGAGAGATTCAGTCAAGTTTGCCCACAATCAAGGGAAGAAGGATCTGAAGGGGAAAGTTGGGACCTTTTATAGGGATGCACTGTGTAGGGCATGACTGTAAGAAAGCACCAGAATCCTGACCATGTGGAAATGTGTGTCCAGGATGCATCTCTGGGAGGTGAATGCCATCTGACTTGATTCCCTCCTAGTCAATCTAGAGAACCAAACAGCCCATCCCAGCAAGCACTGCTGGACTGAGAGCCTGCAGATAAAAAGCGACCCTGAGCCAGTTCAAGGGCTGTCTGGTATCTGCTGTTTCCAGGATAACTGTTCAAGAATGTTCAACTCAAATACTAGATTCTACCCTGCCCAGGCACCTGGTGAGTGAACTGCATAAGAGCTCTGTGTCCTAGGGCCTCACCGGGAGAATGATGTGAGCCTCTACATTTAGACCCAAGAATCCAGTGTAAGGAAAAGGAAAGAAAGATACAATTTTGTGCCTCAGGCAGTGAACATAAAAGTCCTGGTGACCAGTTACTCAGTCTGGGATCTATCTCATCACAATCATCTCACATATACAAGGCTAACCAGAGGGTTCTTTTTGTGTTTGTATTTTTATTTTTTTATTTAGTAGAGGTGGGGTTTCACCATGTTGTCCGGTCTTGTCTTGAACTCCTGACCTCAGGAGATCTGCCTGTCTGGACCTCCTAAGGTGCTGGGATTACAGGAGTGAGCGATTGTGTCTGGCCCAGAGAACTCTCTTAAGGGAAGAATCTTCTAGGTTAACGACACAGAACAAATAAGAAATAACTTTGCATTATGTTTTCTCAAGTGGTGATTAGAAAACCTCTTCCCACGCAGTCTCCCTGGTCATGTGGAATCAGGTCCTGTCAGGGCTTCTAGGTTCTTGTCAACTTTGAGTGAGACGTGAATCTCCCCACCCTGGATGTGGTGCAGCCACAGCCATGAATCCACAGATCAAAAGGAAATTCTCTCTGTATAAAGAGCAAGAACTGCATTCACAGTTTTACGTCTCTGGGTAACCTGTACCTGTAACTGATTGTTTCTTGACTTTATGTAAAAATGCTCAGAGCTTAGGGGTGTGAATCTCCCATTCAGCTGATCATTAAACAGAAAACCAACCGCACTATTCTTTATTTGTCAGTGATGTGTTTAATATTCCATTGAACAACTCCTGAATAATGATGCCAACAATAAATACTTTCACAAGGACAGTCACATTTGTGGAAAAAAAAAAAAAATCCAGGAATAATGAAGGGCTAGCTTGTAGTGTGATTGATGTAAGCTTTGGTAATTTAACACGAAGTCATATTTAATTGCCCAAGAACACAAATAAACGCCATTGTAGGTAAGATTGCGAGGAAAGCTTGGTCTGAATATCATCTGGGGAATCTACCAAAATCTCATTTTTTAATAAGATTGGAAACCATACTTGAGTAAAAATGATATTGACCTTCAAGTGTTGAACTCCGTGGCAATAATATGGGCTGATGATATCAAACAGTAGCTACGAGGTAGGATTGAAATTAAAATCTCATGTTTCACTGTTAAAATTTTATTTACTCTTTTCTCTTACTACATTTTGCAAATCATGTGTGCTCGACTTTTTTTCTTATGATGTCAACAAATTCTGATCTGCTTCTTGGTGTTGAAAAGGTCAGACTCTTAATCATGATAGTGAAAAAGAAAGTCAGAAACATCAGAAGCTGAAGGAATAGCACAAGGAGACAAAACATCAACAGCTTAAGGAAAATAGGGGGAAAAAAAGGTTGATTTTATTGTTAGTTTTAAATAATTATTCTGAAAGGGTGTTAAATGAATTATCAGTTTTATCTGTTACCTATTTCGAAAATTTCAGTTGCAGGGGAGTGAATAATAGTAAAATATTTGGCCTGTTTTCTTTTACTATAAGCCAATTCTTGAAAATGTTATTTTCACAAAGTATCTAGATTGCTTGAATTTAAGAAAGCATTGCTATTTTCTATGAGAATGAATGAACCATTAAAAAGGTAACTCCTGGGATTTTTAACACAAATCTAATGATTTGTCCCCCTACAGATCCAAAAATGTAAAATCTCGTACAAATCCCTTTTTAGTCAGAAAAAGGCTTTGAAACTACCCGATTTAACCTGTAGACTTAAATAACACTATTACTAACTCTAACCAGAAACTTCCCTCTCTTGTCTGTTGACACATCATGACGGGACTTTCAGAACAGCAGACAAAGCTGGTCAGTCCCAGTGGACACAGACAAGATGGAAGAGCAGCCTACATTTGAACCAGGGTAGGAGCAGGCCTCTGCATGTCTCTAATCTGGACTATGTTCACCTGAATGAGGGAGCACTTCTACAGGCAGGGTTGAGTGTCTTTTTTCCCTGATGCAGTTAGTTTGGGATCCATGAAATTGAAAGCAACTGTATTACTCACATGACTTGGGAAGAGAGTCTTGGAAGTGGAATTGTTTGTGTTCATTACCGGGAGTCAGTGTTTACGGGGTGGTCACTGTGATCCTGTTTGTAGGGGGATTGAGGGATTTGTGGGCTGACCAAGGCCAAGGAAAAAGAGATGACCATAGATAGCAGTAGCACATGTGCCGTCTATTGGATGAAGCTTTGACAGGTTTGCAGCGAGAAGTCCCTCACAGCAGGAGGTAGTCTGGAGAATAATGTGCCAGGTTTGTTTCTCAAAATGGGCGGGACACTGGAGAAGGGATATGCATCTAGGGGATGCCACACAGCAGCACAGTGGGGAGTTTCTGCATCAGAGAGCTACAGAGGGCAGTACTAAGTTTAAGGTTTTCATAAACTGGGGCTTGTCTTACCTACTGCTAGCAGATGTGGGTAAGGCTTTCCGCACCTATAGAGTAAGTCTTTTCTAAAAGGTTAAAAGTGTCCTTATTTGAGTTGTTTTTAAAACAATTACAATTTGAAATTTGAGTTTGGCACAGGCCATTGAGAACTAAGCCTACAGTTTTGAAATAAACAACATAGCATTCTCATTTATAGATCACTGTTGCACATCGTGTACACTTTGTTTTACAGACTGTATTAGTCCAGACAGTGCAAACCCACACTGCTATGGATGAGGCTGAGACACACAGAGGCCTGTTCCCTACCTGACGAGCCTCAATGAACCTTCTTTTAATTAAAGGTGAGAGTTTGTTCTTGGATGAGAATTAAGACCAAGAAACCCACAACGGGAGCTTCCATCTGTGAAGCTGCAGGTCCTGTGAATGGATTCCTGGCTCTCAGGCACCTGGGATTGAAGCTGTCTACATTGTCTCAATAACTGAAATTGTCCCTTACTGGAGCATAGATTCATAGACAAATATTCTGGAACACAGGGAGAGAGCACAGGGAATGTAGGCTCTGTGAATGTGTATCTTCAGCTACTGAGAATCTCTCTCTCCAAACGTTGAAAGAAACAGCGTTGTTTCCATATCGGACTTTTCTGAATCTTCAGACCCTGTTCTAGATCTGTCTCATCTGAACCTGTTTCCAAATATTTCAATTTTGGTCTTTACTTTTCCTTGGAAAAGGTTCTCAGAAATCCTATGAAACTATCCACACAGCAGTGGGATTAAGTGGTGGGCTTCTCCTCTGTGCTTGTTAATATCTCTGCAGAATCCACCACACCCACCAACTGCACAAAGTGAAGGCATGAGTCCGTTTCTTCCTGGGCCTCCTGTGTCTCTTGGGTTCCCTTTGAATTTGTCCTTGAAGAAAGGGGTCTCTGTCCTCAACAGTAAAACTCCATAAAACCATAGATTGTCTGAGAGGTTAGTAAAATTTTACTACTCTTTAAATGTAAAGTTAGCCTTGAGGACATATAGTAAACCCTGTTTTACTTGACAGACGTGAAATGAAGATCCCAAGAAGTTTCTAGAGACTAATTGGGGATTCTAGTCATTTAAACTGTAGTAGAAGCTGCAGTTGATATAAGAACTTCAATGAATATAACAAGAAAATAATGTGGAATAACTTATTTACTTTTAACTTAGATAGGACAGTTTACCTGTAAAAAAAATTGAAATACAATTTGCGAGTTCTCACACTCAGATTTTTCATGTTAAACAATTTTAAGAATCAAGCAAACATGTATATAAATTATAATTGATAATGTATAAGGGTCTAGAGGAAAATTAGGATTCAAATTAATCAAACTGAGTTCTAAAGACAGTTGAATTTCTTTTTTAACTGCTTCTTTTCACATCCTATTAGCAAAAATTAAAAGTACAGAAAAGGAGAGAGACAAGAGCTGAATAAAATCTTTAGTGCTCATTTCTTATCTCATAATAATAATAATAATTAATAATAATAATACAACCTTTTCACTGACACCTGGAAATATTGGCTCTACCCTTCTGGAAGCAGCAGCTTCACATCACGATGGTGAACTTTATTATTATTTGGTCATTCTTGGGCAGGAGCTAAGGATCACCGAAATGTAAGTGCTCTATGAGGAGCCAATTGCCCTTACGTTGGAATACTTCTAGATATTAACTCTTCTAAAATATCTACTAGCAAAAAAAAAAAAAAATGAACTATCAGTAATAAAAAGAAATAAATTGGGACTTCCCAGGAGCCGTCAGGCATAAAACTACCATGTTTAACAAAGGACTAGAGGCATAATCTCTTGCCCAACACTGATTTAGCCGGATCTCACTCATATTTAATAGTTTTACCCTAGTGAATTAGAAACATCCTCAACCTAGATAATGGTTTCTTTGCTATTCTGGAATCCTAGCTGCCCTAGGTGAAAATTAAAACTGAAAATAAGAAGGTATACAAATCTGTTACCCTAGGAAAACTGTTTATGCAACAATTATTCGTATAAGACAAAGTAAAAGGAAGAAACCTGTTGATTTTATGGAAGATTGAAGCAAATACTTTTGAGTCAAAAATAATCCTAAGGAAGCCATAAAGCAAGAGCAGTATCTTTTGCCTCTGGCTTGCGATAGTATTAAATTTCAAAATAATGATTTTGTTTTTGGTTAAAACTAACTTTGTAGGTTTTCTCAGAGTAGGTCATCTTACTCAGAAATTGTAGAGGAAACAAACAATAAACATGGAAATTACAAAGTACTTTGATCTGAAAGTAGACATCGCATATCCAAATTTATGAGATTCAAAAAAATGCAGTTAATTTATAGCAATATCAATGCATTTTAGCAAAGAAGTTTTCATATCAATCACTGGAAATGTAATCCTGACAAATTAGGAAAAAACCAACAAATGTTACTCAAAAGAAGGTCTTTTATTCTTAGAAATGTGAGGCTGTGACAAGCGTACATCTAGTATTCCACCAATAGAGTTCTATCAGTCTCCAAATGAAAACACCATTAGCAGCTGCACAAGAAGAATGTCTTCGAGTGCATGGGCAGAGTGAGTAACTGCTCAGAGAGAATGAGGAGTCAGGGAGTGTCAAAATAGGATTCCTATGTGATATTATTATGAGCTGCACAAACATAAGACTATCCTGAGCCCTGACTTACTCATAAGCTGAACATTATGGAGTGCGGGCCGCCGTCCATCCTCCTGATAGTTGGTGAGAGTGGGGTCACTTGGGAAAGGCATGGAGAAGGGCTGTGAAGGTCATCAGTGGCCGCAGGTGAGGACATGACACACTAGGGTGCCCTTACAGTGACATGACTGAGCATCCCTACAGCCATGAGAATGGCAGGGAACTTTAAGGACTTCTCCAGCGATGATGCGGCAGCCAACCCTGGAGGGTCAGTGGGGATTCAGCACCCTGTGTGTGGAGGAAAGAGGAGGCTTTGGAAGCTGTCTTGGAGGACTCTGGCCCTGTTCACATAGAAGAGGAGACTGTGCCAGTGACCAAAGCCTCATGGCCTCTTCCTTCCTCAAAGGCTTTCCAGTCATCTCCCTGAGCCCACCTGACTCCAACTGCTGGGACACATCCCCTGGCACCACAGCTGTTACTGCCACAATGAGAGGCTGAACTTCCTTTGAGGTTTGTGTTTGAGGCCATCACACTGTGCAGAGTCCTGGTGAGTGTCCTGCTCACAGGAGGCTGTGTAACATCTCCAGGCTCCAAAGTAGTGTTTGTGATGGTGAAATCCCTAGAATTTTGGCTAGATGTGTTTTCTCACTTGTGAATACCCTCTGTAGACCTGTCACTCTGTGCTTTACAAACTCTTTTCTGTAAACTATCTCTTCTTTGTTTTTGGACTTTTGGGTTAAGAATGCAATTTTAATTGTACTATCTTTAGTCTCCACACTGCTGATTGTGGAAGTGAAATCAACGTATTTTTGGTTGCATGTGTGTTCTCAATCATGAATCCTCTGAAGACTTGTCTATCCTTGTATGTGTGACAGTTTCTTTCCTATATGCCATGCTTTCATTATTAATTTATTTTTGATATTTCTCCTGGGGAATACGGTTTTAACTTCATTTACCATGATGTGGATCATCCTTGAATGGACAATCATTTCTCATCGGGTTGATTATTTTAACCAGAAAAAAAACTATTTTGTCCTCTGAGTACAAATAATTCTACATACTGATTATATCGCCTTATGAAATGGAATGAATTTGCCTGTGATTCGTTCATAAATATTTTTGAGGAATTATTTTAAGTGACACCATGCAAAACATACTTTTTCCATCCCATTACTGTTAGAATAATGGAATCAGATACATTTTCAGGTACTGACCATATCGTGTAAAAATTATACATTTACTTATTCCAAAACCTTTTATTTTTCATGATAATTTCATACCCGAATTGTAATTTCTAAATGACTACTTTCAAAAGAAATCTTCCTATTCTGGGGCAATGATATAGGGGTTGAAAGGCTAAAAGAACCACTGCAAGAACCTGGAGGTAAAACAATACAAAAGTTTATATTAATAACATCAGAGAGCAGTAGAAGAAATAAGAACTAAGTAACCTAAAATTCCAAACTGAAAAGCACCACTTCTAGTTTAGCTGACGCTGGCCTGACTCTTTGTCCTCCTGCCATATCTGCCAAGATTGCATGTGGACAGAAGCTCTGTCTTGGCACAAACAGAGGGACTCTCCTGAGAACGGAGAATCAGACTGACTCTCAGGGGTTGCACAGGGCAGCCTCTACACATGACCCGTGTCCTCCATGGAGCATTTGCTGAGGTCTGACTCACCAGGCAGGCTGGAGGAGATGGGCTAGAACATAAACCTCCCATGGATTCAGCATGGTTTTCTGATCCCCAAAGCTGAACAGAGCATCCTGAATACACGTCTGACTCATGAACATCGACATCCATCCCCACTGCTCCCCCTGCACGTGTAGACCCTGCCTGGCCTTCTGCTCAGCATATCAGTGCTTGTGACATCTCCAGACCCAAACAGTGGTCTCTGCTAAATGTCCTCTAGGGGCAGAATGAGTTTCAGAAGCTCTGCTTGGTTGCTGTGATTTGACTTAGGACTGAGTGACATGACCTCAGGTCTCCTTGCACAGGGACTTCACTAAACCTTTGGTGTTTACAGACCTAAAGCCCTACTCACAACATTACTTTACTGTGAGACTCCCAGTGACACAGGCTTCACCCAGGAAACCAGAAGCAGTGCCTTCCACTCTGTGGTTCTTTCCAAGTATCATATTTGGCTCTTTGTGGGTCCACGTCAATTGCTAAGCCCACCACCATCCACATCTCCACCCATCATAAGCCAAGGCAGTTTAATTGGACAATAGCTGACCTCTCCTGTATCCCCTCATGCTCCCATTCCTGCAGTCTGTCCAATCTTGAATTCTGCACTGTGGGGAATAGAAAGTTTATATCATCTTTTATTTTCCCAGTGATTCATGGAAAATACTACATCTTTAATATTCTACATCTTTCAGGATTTGCTTTTTATTTTTAAAACCAACTTTTAGAATTTCAAGAACTCCCTTTTTCTATCAGTGAGAGGCTATTGTTCTAAAAAAAATTAGTATTAGGATCTTGCATCTGACATGAAATTACAAAATCTATTTGACATTCACAACCAAGGTGTTACTTATTGTCCTCAGCCAGCTCCCTCTGAGGATAACTAGTACAGAATGCCATCTCTAATGTCTTATGGAGTGAGCAATGAGTGCTAAATAGAAAAACAAGGAAGTTGAAAAAGTAGGAAAGCACTTGGATTTGGATATAACTGAACACAGATATGCACCCATTATATTTCACACCTTTAACAGGGGCCAAGGCATCTCAGCCTGGTGCAGTTGCAGAGGAAGTGGATTGAACCGCATCGGCATCAGTGGGCTTCAGCCTGGGGTTCTGGGGAGTATTACTGATGCCTGACTGGGAGTGGTCAAATCACTGTGGTGGATCCCCTGCATTCACCCTCCTGTTACCTATTCAGGGGCCTGAATTATGAGGAACTTACTCATTTAAAGGGAAAAAGGGAAATTTCCTATTTGCTCTCTAAAGGTTTGCAGAAAATGAATGGACAAAACACAAATTAATAGAAGAAAGAGGCAAAAAATTGTGTAAAACGCAGGGGAAAAATCACAGGGTCTCACTCACTCCATGCCCAGCATGAAGTGCAGTGGTGTGACCGTGGCTCATTGCAACCTTGAATTCTCAAGTGCAAACAGTTCTCCCACCTCAGCCTACAGAGTAGCTGGGATAATAGGGGTGTGCCACCATGCCCACATACATGGGTGTTTGCTGGAGAGGAGATGGAGACTCTCTGTCCTGGATGTGAGACAGGTGGCTGGCATCTGGGTAAGGATGACGTTCCCTCATTGCTAAAGAGTAAAAGAGGAAAGTGTCATTGATAGTGCAAGGCAGGGACACACCCTGACCCAGTGAGGTCCAGAGGCTTATATGTCCTTCATAGGGGGGTGAGAAGAAGAGAGTGTAGGCAACCCAGGGGAAACAAGTGACCTAAAATAAAAGAAAGAGGTCATCAAAAGTGTAGATGTATTAGTCAGGGTTCTCTAGAGTGACAGAATTAAAGGACTATGCACATAAATATATGAAGGGGAGTGTGATGGTTCATAGTGAGTGTCAACTTGATAGGATTGAGGGACACAAAGTATGGAACCTGGGTGTTTCTGTGAGGGTGTTGCCAAAATAGGTTAACTTTTGAGTCCGTGGGCTGGGGAAGGCAGACCCCACCCATAATCCGGTGGGCACAATCTAATCAGCTGCCAGCAAATATAACGCAGGCAGAAAAGTTTGAAAAAGAGAGACTGGCCTAGTCTCCCAGCCTACATCTTTCTCCCATGCTGGATGTTTTTTGCCCTAGAACATTGGAGTCCATGTTCTTCAGTTTGTGACTCAGACTGGCTCTCCTTTCTCATGGATTTGCAGACAGCCCATTGTGGAACTTATGATCCTTTAAGTTAGTAAACATCCATATATATATATATACACACACACACACACACACACCCCTATATATATATGTGTGTGTGTGTGTGTATCTATCTATCTATCTATCTATCTATCTATCTATCTATCTATCTATCTATCTCCTGTTAGTTCTGTCCCTCTAGATGTCACTCACTAATACAGGAAGTTTATTAAGTATTAACTCACTCAATCACCAGGTCTCACAATAGGCCATCTCCTGGCTGAGGAGCAAAAAGAGCCGACCAGAGTTCCAAAACTGAAGACCTTGGAGTCCATGTTTGAGGACAGGAAGCATCCAGCACAGGAGAAAGATGTAGGCTGGGAGGCTAGGCTCGTCTCTTCTCACATTTTTCTGCCCGCTTATAGTCTAGCTGTGTTGGCAGCTGATTGTATTGTGCTCATGCAGATTAAGGGTGAATCTGCCTTTCCCAGCCCACTGACTCAAATGTTAATCTCCTTTGGCAACACCTCACAGACACACCCAGGATCAACACTTTACATCCTTCAATCCAATCAAATTGAAACTCAGTATTAACCATCACCAGCCCACCCCTTGTCAACTGGAACCCACACACATCTCCTGAGATCAAACATAATGTTAAAATACAGACAATAGTAAGGTCATAGTTACCCCTAACATAATACAACTATGCTTTCTACAACTGGAAATGCACCAATCCCCAACCCAAAAACTATTACACAAAATGAATAATACTTAAATGCTCATATGAGGTCAATAAATCTTATGTCACCTGATAGAGAAACCGGAAATGAAGATAATTTCTTAGTACAAGTGTATACATGCACAAATACGTTTTTAACAAAAGAAGAAGGAAATATTCATGATAGTTCCAGTCCTCCTTTCTGCAGCTGGTCACGTGGTCATAGCTGATATTGATCACTACCTTCTTCCACTATTCATTCTGTATTGCTTTTGCCTTCAGCAAGCACCTCAGCAGGTCGACCTTAATCAGAGTGCATGATAATACCAAGAGACACCCTAATGGATCTCCTATATTCCATACATACTCTTCGTCACTTCTATTGTGGAGTAGGGGACTGAGTTCATCTTGATAGTCTGGGTCAATCACTGCAGCCAACACTGTAACTCCATTCTTAGCCTGTTGACTTAAAGGTAGGAGGAGCCTAAAGTGTCCAGGTGGCCAACTTAACTTCCGGTGTAATGGAATCATTATTATGTCTCCTGGTGGCAGCGTTCTTCCCTCTAGAA